CTCTCATGCTCTGGTAAGGGCGACAAAGGTGGCGTGATACAGGAGCTAGAGAAAGGAGTAGAACTAATCTGGCTGACTATGATAAGAGAACAGCCCTCCATTTAGCATCCAGCGAAGGTTGCACAGAAGTTGTTGTCCTACTTCTTGAGAAAGGAGCTGATGTGAACTCCACTGATCGCTGGGGACGCACTGTAAGTTCATGTATATTAATCATAGAAGGTTGCATGGTTTGAATTGTCGGCATGATGAGCAAGCATATTATGTAGAAGGCTAGAGATTAACTAAAGCCATGTTGTGCAGTTGTACATTATAGGCAAATCTTATAAAGCTTTCAAGTGACCCGTAAATTAAGTTTGCTTCTTCTTTTAATTGATCTTTTCGTCATTAATAGCGTCTTCTATGGATCACTTTTTCTCTCTAGTCACTCGAAATGCTAGATTAATTACTTGGAAAATGCATTTTTATACTTGTAAAAGAAAGGAGGAAAGCATATCTAAATGAAAAAAGATATGGAGAAGCAATAGTACAAAAAAAGAAGAGTGGGAAGGAGTCCAACCTGTCGTTCCTACATTTTATATGCTTGCTATGGCAGCAGTTTTGTATATTTTCTCTTTCCAAAGAGGCATATTTATTTTCTGTTTTCGTTATAAACAAGGTTAATGCGATTCATTGACTTATCTGTAGCTATTGATTGGCCTCCGACACGGTTAACTAGATCCACATATTTTACTTGAAGTTTTAGCATTCTCTCCACACTACCGTTATTTCCATTGGAATTTAATATTTTATTCCATTAAACTTATTTTTTTTGCAGCCACTGTCAGATGCTCGTAGCTTCGGCCATGAGAAAATTTGTGATATTCTTGAGGCACATGGAGGAATTGATCCGGTAGTTCACTTTCCTGGCAAGTGCTTTGAAAAAAAAATCATTACATTTATCCACTTTTTTCATACTGCATATATATGTGAAGTCAAAATACACGATTATTATGCTTTTGCACTCTTTTATCAAAAAAAAAAAAATGCTTATGCACACTCATTCTTTACCCTTCCCAAGTCCATGGGGAATTGAACTTAAAGCCATTGTGCAATCAAAAAATTTTCAGCAGACAGATGGAAAGGGAGGAAACAGTTATTTTGAAATAATTTTTTTCCTAATAGGCTAATACCAATTATGGTGATTTAGATACCTAGAAGCATAGGTGGTCTATGCCAGGATTCCAAGGCTCTTAGCTGTGTCTTGGTTTGTTAACAATTAGATGGGAATAGTCACCCCCTTCTTTAGTTTCCTGTGATGATTCCTGTAGTTAGGTGTTGAATTTAGGTGACTCTTCCTCAATATACGAGATTATGACAGAGCTAAGGTAAACAACTTCATATATTTGGCAGATTTGAACCGTCCGTAATTTTAGAAGAAAATGTTCTCGTAAAAGAGCAAGAACCATTCTAAAATAAGAAGGTTCGTGTCATGGAACTTGGGTGCAAAAATTTCTGCGAATATTTTCTTTTTAATTGGAAAAATGGACTGAAAAAGTCAAACAAAAAAAATATTCTTTGCCATAAATGTGTCAAAATTCTACATTTTTTTAATCAAGAGACTGTAATTTCATTTTAGTAGGGAAATGTTGATTACAATCAGAAAATAAAAAATCCATTAACTCTGTAGGCGGACAGCTGACCCAACTCCAGGCTAGTGAGCTGGATCATAAAACCGATGCCGCTACCCAATGAGTTGCCCTGTTAAAGGCTTTTGGCTTGTGTAGAAACCTTAGATTAAGGGAATTAGCAACTTGCCTAATGTCTTCAACAAAAACACTGATTTCCCAGGGGGGAACTCCTTCTGTCGAGCTAAGCTTGATTACTTCCATAGTGTCACTCTCAATAATGACATGCTGTAACTGCTGAGTATATGCAAGTAAACCAGCTTGCCTGACTGCCGCTGCTTCTGCATATAAACTTGATCCCACTGGGATACTTTTAGCAATTCCGTCCAAAAGCTTTCCATTAGTCTCCCTTAAAATAACTCCAATAGCAGCTCTTCTGTCTTTGAATGCACCATCGCAGCAAAGCCTCAGTCCTTGATTCAACTGGGGAACTTGATGTTCTGTTTGGTTTGAAGTATTTGAGACTATACGCTGTGCTCCTTTTCCAAATGAAATTACCTCATTCCACAACGTCTGAGCTTTTAAAACAGTGGTAAGGGCATTGGGCTCTTCTTGATGAAAGGCCTTTTGGTTCATCGCCTTCCTAGCTTTCCAGATGGTCCAAGCAAATGTTGCAACTTTCCCCATAATCTTTAAAGAAGAGGGCATGTCCTTAATGTTAAGTTTGATCGATCAAAGAAAAGTAAGAGGAAGAAAGAAGAGAATATTATTGCGGCACAATTAGCCAGAACAAAGCTTAAAGGAAAACTACATATAAGAGGTTTTTATATAGTAAACTAAGCTAGGGTAACATAAAAGAAAACAAATGATTAAACTACCCCTAAGTCTAAATATAATAACTATTCTAACACCCTCCCTCAAACTCATGATGTGGTAACATCAAACATCAAGAGTTTGCTAAGAAGAAAACGGAAGCATGCGATGGTGTGAGATTTCGTAAAGAAACGATCAGCAAGTAGCCAATACAGTCAAACTATCTCTGCTGTTATGAAGGTTATAGCATGATACTCAGCTTCAGCAGATGATCGAGCCACAACAGTGTGTTTCTTACTTTTCTACGAAATAAGGCAATCACCAATGAAGAGGCAGAAACCAGTAGTGGACTTGCGATCCATAGAGTCACCAACCCAGTGCACATCAGAGTAAACATGAAGTTCTAGAGACGATCAAATAGCAATGAGAGGTCTAACAGAAAACCAAAGCTCAACAAAAACCACCAATAACAATGCTCAACAAAACAAATCCCAACAAAGAAAAAAAACAAACAAACCAGAACTAGTCCCAAACCAGCAGTAGTCAAAATTAAAAACTAGAACCAAAAGAAGTAGCCAACGCCAAACAATCTAAAGTTCGCCACAAATCAACTTAACAACTTTGCAAATCAAATACTCACCCAACAATTTGTTCACAAAATCAGCCCCAAAGGCTCAAACTCACCAATCAAAAGTGAAAACAAAAGTTTCCTACTTAATCAGTGCTAAATAATACAAATGGAAACAAAAGTTTCTTGCTTATTCAATGCGAAACAATGTAACGCTATGTCAAATAGCAAGCCCAAACGAACAAATCAAAAACCAGCAATGTGACAACTCACCAATGCACAAAACCAACCAATCAACAAACCAGTCTAAAAGCCCAAAGCAACAGCAGCAAACGAAGAAGAAACAACCAGACTAGCAACCAGAAGAAGAAGAAGCACCAGCAGAAGAGAAGAGGCAGCAGCAAGTCAACAAAAATAGCAATCCAAATAGCAGATCCCAACGTACTAACTTCACAAACTAGAAACCAACGAAGAAGCAGACGCTCAATAGGCCTTAATACAAGCATCTCGAGCCAATAAATCAAACTAGCAATCCAAAAACTAGACAACCCAAATTCCATAACTTTCAAAAGTCCAGTAGATAAACAGAGGCAGCAAAACAGTAGCAAAACACCAAAAAAGGTACTAAAAATCGAAATCCGGCACTGTTCACAGCATAAACAGTAATGTCGGTACCATTCACAACGCGTGAACAGTACTTTGGCACTATTCACTCACGCGAACAATACTTCAGCACTGTTCACAGCCCTTGGAATCACAAAAAAATAGTCATCCACCAATCACTAGCCCTCAAATCACACAACCCAAGAATATATTATTCCTCCAACTAAATTACTGTGGTGCTAGAATATATATTTTGGATTGAAACCATGCTCTGATACCATGTTAAATTTGATCAATCAAAGAAAAGTAAGAAGAAGAAAGAAGAGAATATTATTGAGGCACAATTAGCCAGAACAAAACTTAAAGGAAAATTACATATAAGAGGTCTTTATATAGTAAACTAAGTTAGGGCAATATAAAAGAAAACAAATGACTAAACTACCCCTAAGTCTAAATATAATAACTATTCTAACACTTAATGGATAAGTTGAGGAATTATAAGTGATACACTAAAGAAAAAGATGCTTTTCTAAGTCTTCATTATGTACAGAAAACATTTGCTGGTAATGCTTTGATCTTGAGATCGAGCTATGTGGCAGCCTAGAGGAGAAATTCCATTACATGTACAAGCCACACATTGGGCCTCTCAGGTTGAGCTTCCCAATGTTTCTCCATATGATTTTGTTGGCTTGATCCCTGATAAATAAGCTTTTCCTGCCTATTGTCTCAGTAAGCAAGATAGGTTTTAGAACGGAAGTGCTTATCCATTCCAGTGTCCTGAGTTGTTGCAATAAATCTTAAGTTGTATAGCCAAGGTGTCATCTCTCACAATTTACTGTGGAAGTGCCAGTATTGGTTCCAATTGACCCAGGTCATCATTGCATCTGAATTTCCTTGACATGTCAAAGCTTTTCAATCTTTATAGAGATTAATTAAGTGCTTCTTACCATTTTTTTGGGACAGGTGGGACTTGATTCTCAGATTCCATGCTATGAAATTGATCACGATGAGGTGAACATGAATGAAGCAACTCTTATTGGAGAAGTAATTTCTCTTACTCAAGTCATATATATGCCATGAAACCACCTCAAACGTATCCTAACCCTATGCTCTTTTGCAAAATTATTTTTCTTAAAAAGTATAAATTTCTTCACTGTTAAATGGCTTCTGAGTTTAAATGAAGTGTTATTATGTAGCTTCCTCACTTTTAATCAAAGGTTCACCTTTTGTATTATGTTGCACTATGTGACTACCCTGAGATTCGAATTCACTTCATTGTTGCTAGCCCAACACTTATATCACTACACCTGGTAATAGTAAATCTAGAAGTAATTTTGCTGGTTTTGACGATGTTACCCTGAAAACAGGGTTCATATGGTGAGGTTTACCTAGTGAGGTGGCGCGGTACAGAAGTTGCTGCAAAAACAATTCGCTCTTCAATTGCGTCAAATCAAATGGTGAAGTGAGTCTTATCCTAATGGAGAATTGATGCTTGCCACCCATTCCATTTTCATCTTGCTTGTAGGGCTAAATTTCTCAAAAGAAATCCATCACCACTTCTCACACTACTATTGCATGTTTTGTTGTTGAGTACGTGGGAAAAACCATAGAAGACCATGGCTTGTTATCTGAAGTTAACATGTTTAAATATAAAATTTCAATTGTGGCTTCTATATGCTCCTAAATCAATGAATCCAAACTGATACATTCATTGTGAAGCAAACTATAAAGAGCAATAATTGATATATGTGCCCTTATGCGCGGCTTACAAAGCTCTGATCTACTGTATGCACTGTGCTTGTCAAGTTTCAGCTATATCTTTACCATTGTCTATTGTTGATGGCTTTACAGGAAAGCCTTTCTAAAGGAACTGGCCTTGTGGCAGACGTTGCGCCACCCAAACATAGTACAGTTCCTTGGTGTTCTAAAGCACTCTGACCGCTTGATATTCCTCACCGAGTATCTTCGCAATGTAAGTGTTGTCCTATTTGTTGTGTGGCTTTGGACTTCCATATACTAATTTTTCCTTCAACTGGAATTACAGGGAAGTTTGTATGATATACTAAGAAAGAAAGGAAGGTTGGATCCATTGACAGCTGTTAGTTATGCTTTAGACATTGCAAGGTATATGTTATGTGAAAGCTTAGATTTTGAAATTTCTCAGGCAATTCTCAGTTCGGTGAACTTGATTAAGTGCATTCTTTCCATTTTTCTGTGAATCAACAACGACAATATCCCCCCCCCCCACCCCACCCCCCACACAACCACAACCATTTTTTCCCTTCAATAAACATCTAGAAATTGTAGAGTTTGAAGTCTTTGGACTTGAGGCCATCTTAGTAGAGCATGCGGTTTGAAATTTAAAATACATCTTTGAAGATGACCATGCTTTGAGATCAGTGTGACTTCAGTATACTGACGTGTTCATCTAATCCCGGGCTTCTCAGAAGACGCTCTGATATTTCATGCATAGACCTTAACTTACAAAGAACTTTGGAAAGTTATTGATGATAAGATTCTTGATGAATGCTTCCTTTAGTATATAAGGTTCTATCCATATTTGTAGTAGGTTAATACTTAAAGAACCAGTTAGGTTCCAAATCGTTTAGTTCTTCAAATCGTGGAAAGTGTTGAAACTACACACCATTTAGTTCTTCAAATTGTTTTGATTGTGTTCCACATTGATCTGGAAGTATGCCAATTGATTAGGGATTCTGTAACTTTTTTCTAATATGCCATTGAGAGTCAATGCTGGCTTCCTCAACACCCCCCCCCCAAAAAAAAAAAAAACAAACAACAACCAACCCAAACCCAGAGGAAAAAAAAGACAACAAAAAAGAAAATTCGTATATTTCAATAACTGGTTTTAGCATCTTCGCGCTATCCATGGTACACAAGTAACCATGTAATGTTCTGATCAGGAAAGGGCATGCTAAAACTCAACTAGTATAAATCATTCATGGACTGAGTTGATTGTTTGAACTTGCAGAGGTATGAATTACCTTCATCAGCATAAACCGTATGCTATAATACACCGGGATTTGACTCCAAGGTACTCAAAATCTGAATCTCTGTGCTGATGTTCATGTTAAATGCATCAGACTAGTGTGTGTTTTGTAAGTCAAACAACACAATTTCCATCCATCAATCGAAAAAATGTGTACTGTTTTCTGACATTATCATTTATGTTATGCAACTATCCAGAAATGTTTTGCAAGATGAAGCTGGGCGCCTAAAAGTTACAGATTTTGGCCTAAGCAAAATTGCGCAGGAAAAAGATGCTTATGGTTATAAAATGACTGGAGGAACAGGATCATGTATGATCTGCCACCTCACTGAATGTTGGGAATATTCTCAAATTTAAATATTTAATCAGATGTTATTATGATGTTGATCAGATCGGTATATGGCTCCTGAGGTTTATCGTCGAGAATCATATGGAATGAGTGTTGATGTCTTTTCATTTGCTCTATTAGTACATGAGGCAAGTCAAATTTACATATTTGTAGGTTTCAAGATAGATTTTCTAAACCTATCAAAGTCTGCCTACCTACCCAAAGGGAGGAGAAATGAGAATGTATAAATCTGTTTTTTAGCACGAGTATTCGTAAATCTCATAAATGGTTGTGTTTCAGATGTTCCTAGGGGGACCTTCAAATAGGGAGGAAGCTCCTGAGAAAGTGGCAGACAAGCGAGCGTATGAAGATTCACGTCCACCTCTTTCTTCATATGTATACCCTGAACCAATCAAGATGTAAGTTAACTAAATCTTTCTGGGACAGTGTCATACCCTACTTCACCGTTAAGGACTCGTGAAAATTTAATGTATTTGGTGAACTGCTATGATTGCATCAAATATTAAGTGTATTTACTCACCAAGTCATCATTATTAGTGTTTCGTACAGCTGCCCTGGCAATAGAAGCCAATTCTCCTCGAATTTGATTTGAAGACACTCTTTGTGAACCCAAATTGAATGCATTTCACCCATTGTTCACCAGCAATTTGGATAATAGAATCTTGCAATGCTGTATAATAAAAAAGCCAAACTTTACGAAATCATTGATGGGTTTTATATCTCATCATATATTTTCAACGAAGTGATGACCTTGCTTGCAGGCTTCTTCGAGAATGCTGGCACAAGAATCCAGATTGCCGACCTACATTTGAAGAAATAATCTTACAGCTGGAGATTATTCAAGAGAGTTTACAACATAACAATGGCATTGTAGCCTGCTGCAGCTGTCATGTTTTGTGAGATCAACTTGTAGTGTGTTGTGCAAACTTCATCTGGTAGTTCCTCCCTTTCAAAGCACACGTTTTTTTCGCTTTGTCTGTGTATTTTCTTCTCTTCTGTTTCTTTTGACCTGTTGCAGCCGGCACTGCATACCCTTTTTTGAACACTGGAAGACTAATCACAAGGGTGTCATACAACAAAGTTGTGGACAGTAGATCCATACATGTAATTATCATCTTCATGCTGGGTTTGTTTTGGTGTATCTTACTCTTTATATGTGTACACATCTGATTAAGTTGGTCAGATTGCATCATCTCTTGAGCTAATTTGCATCAGTTGATTCATGATTGGGAGTAAGTACTGTGGGTGCAAGATCCTGCACAATATAAACACTAGAACAAATCTTTTCCGTGGTGAACACGTGTTCGAAATTGGGTGATTGGTCTTGCTAGTTGAACAGGTTGTGAGGGTCGAAGGTGGATAATCAATCGTTGGTATGAGTTGCCTGAGTGATCCTGGAAAACTGAAGGAGGTTCCTGGAACAAAGGAAAACAGGTTACAAGGGCGCCGGAATGTTTTCCGGCATATCCCCTCCAACGGTCAAGTCAGTTCTTTGAGAGAGGGGAAGAAGAAAATACTGTATGATGGTTGAGAGAAGGTTAGTTGCATACTCTTTTTCTGTGTTTGTGAGGACTATTTATACCTTAAAAACTCATCATTACTGACAGCGTAGCTAGTAGGTAATCATTGGAGGTAGGCAGCGTGCACACCAATTTTTATGAGTAATGATCTTATTCTTTACTGCTCGGGACCCCGAGCAACTAATGTTTTCTCATCGATCTGCCGAACGTTTAATGATCTTCTCTCGGCGGAGGTGTATTAAATGCCCAGGCTTTGGGACATTTATTACCTTTCACTTCCAAGCTCTCATGCATTAGATACTTGTTTTCCCAAGTTGTGTGTCAGCAAAGACATTCTGGTTTTTTTGTCTCTAATCTGACACAATACGCCACATGCTCATTCCCCTTTGATTGAGCCTTCTGCTTTGTTGTGCCTCTTGACACCATTTGAGTAAGACGAGGTCATGATGGCTAGTTTAGCCTTGCCTAGGCTAGTGATCTGTCCATCAATAGCCCCTGCAGGTGCAAAAACGCTGACGCGATAGATACTTCTCGGTGTCGAGGGACTAGCATAATTTAGGACCGATATACCCAAAACTACCGAGAAATATAACAGTTTATATGAAATGCTATATCCATCATCTCTATCAATTAAATTTTATTTTCTTTATTAGATCAAGACTCACTTATCTACTCCTCGCTCCTACCATATCCAAGAGGACTGATGCCCAATTCCTTGACCCATTATTAACTTTCATATAAATAACACAACGGTCTTCTTTAGTTAGACGGTGTGACACTTTACCCTTTTTTGTGATCTTTTGACTGTCATTGACTACTATATTTAATTCTAACTGCAATTGATAGTCAGCCCTTTAACCACTTAGAATTTAATTATTTCCTGAATTATATTAGTTGGTACTTCTAAAGGGAAAAGATAAACACAAACATTAGGCCAAGTACTGTACAATCTTTCAATAAATAAATAAAATGACGAGAAGACATTAAGATGTTTGGGTGGTCTACTCGGGTATCACGCTAGTCTCGTACACTAGAGGTCCCCAATTTGAACTCGGCACGGACAATCTAATATTTTTTATTTTTTTAACAGATCTGTACACACACGACACCGTTTCACATTTATACGATTTTTATTTCTCACAGAACATTAAAATTTGAACTCGGCACGAACAATCTAATGTTTTTCATTTTTTTTAACAGATCTGTACACACACGACACTGTTTCACATTTATACGATTTTTATTTTCTCACAGAACATTAAAATTTCTTTTCGGATTTTCTAAAATAAAATTATTTTTCTAAAATATTAATTATCTTAAAATATTTTAAAATAAATGTGTAAATACATTAAAATATCTCAAAATATGAAACCTTCAATGTATTAAAATTTGAAGGCCTAACCTCAACTTGTACTCTGAAAAATCACTTAAATTTTAATTTGTACACTCAAAGTTTAAAAATGTCAATTTTATATTTTAAAAAATATAAATTTATATCAATGTGTATTTGAAATTAACTGCCATCTATTTTGACGTTAAAAAATTTTGGACTAATTATAAATTATACCCTTAAAATTTAAATATTTTATATTTATGATCGAAAAAGAATTTCTTCCATTAATGATCATTAAATAACTTTTAATTGAATTGTGTCGTAATATTTTTGTGCTATGTTTGAGTCAATAAAAAAATATTTTTAAAATTTTAGAAAATTATAAAATATTTATTTTTTGCTTACAATACTTGTTAAATAACTATTTTTTATCTCAAATCTTTTGATTGTTCGATCAGTTAAAATTAGATATGCATAAAACAACTGTAGATAAAAAATAATTATTTAACAAGTATTGTAGGTAAAAATAATTATTAAAAAATATTATATAGTATAATATAAATTGTCGTAAATGTGAAATATACGATACAATGCAATTGACTCGACCTGAAAAAATTTAGTGTTAAAAATATTTTTTTATTGACTCGAACACAACACAAAAATGATACAATATGACACAGAATAACATGACATGACACAATTGAGATGTATTTAACAAGTATTAATGGATGTAATTCTTTTTTAATCATAAATATGAAATATTTAAATTTTGAATGTATAATTTATAATTATTCAAACTTTTTTAACTACAAATGCATGGCAGTTAACCCGATTTACATTGAGACAAATTTATGTCTTATTAATATTTTTAAATATTAAAGGTAGAAATTGAAATTCAAAGAATCTTTCTTTAGCCCAAATTTTAATTTCATTGATTCGTTTTGATCGATGCTATTAAAACGAAATTAGTTATTTTCTCCGTTCTTAAATATTAGTGGTTTAAGGTTTTTGAACAGGGATTAAAGAATTTATTAAATAATTCTAATATGTGTAAAAAAATAATTGTATAAGATCAAAATATCCTTATTTATTTAATACGTATTGAAAAAAAAATGAATATGAAAGACACTTAAACTCTATTAAATCTAATGCATTGAAAAGTTAAGGGTAAATTTAAAAGAAAAAATATTAATTATATTTTAATTTCATTAAACGATAAATATTACATAACAAAAGAAATTATATAAAATGATAAATATTTAAGATCAAGGGAGCAATTGATGTTGATTTTCAATGTTCGGTGTTTACCGTGCTCTTCAAATTCATTTTACTCCCCTTTGACTGAACAACTACAAGTCCAATCTCAGCTCTGGGGTTCTGAAAAATTCAATCTCTACCCATTTGTTCTTTCAGTTTTGCCCCCTTACTCTGCAAACAATAAATTACCAGAAACAATTTTATTTAGTACAAAATTTCTATTACTGGTTTGTCAGTGAATTGAAATTTGTCATATTTATTGTTATTATCAAGTGGGTTTCGTCCAAATTATCAAAACAATGTACGTTCAAGCACTTTCAATTGAAAAGTTGTCAAATTTATCAGCTCAATGCTTTGCCCGTTGCTCAGCAGCAACAGACCAGCACAACAAATTTGCGTCCAATTCAATTTTCAAACCTCGGTTTTGCAATTCAGCCAAAATGGCGTCTAGATCACGAAAAGGTTTGAGAAACCATGTTGGTTTGGTTGGTCTCAGATGTGAAGGGTCACAGGAAAAAGAATATGATGATGGGTATTATATGAGGAGGTGTGTAGAGCTTGCTCGGAAGGCTGTTGGGTGTACCAGCCCTAATCCTATGGTTGGATGCCTCATTGTGAAAGATGGAAAGATTGTTGGTGAAGGGTTTCACCCAAAAGCTGGGCAGCCCCATGGCGAGGTCTCTCTCTCTCTCTCTATATATATATATTTATGTGTGTGTGTGTGTAATATGCATAAAGGAGAACTGTATCTTGTTTTCATAATGTGTTGTTCAATGCCCATCATTGGGTATACATAATCCTTATCACATTATGCTATGTAGAAAAGATCTAAACTTGGTGAATAGACTGGGAGTGCTTTCTTGATTGTGAGAGCAAATATCATCCACCTTTTTTTTGAGATAATTCACAACTAATATGGCCTGCTATTAATTGATGGAAACATGACAGTGATCTACAGTAATTAATCACCACAGACCCAACTTTATATAAGTACTAGAATCACTAACCACCTGGTTGAGAGATATGTATATGATGTTGGCAAAATCTGTTAAAATTGGAGGTATATATGCAGACATGAGGGGGCTGAAGCTGAAGTTCAAGGGGGTGCCAATATTTTTGCTTTTGAGTCAGTGCCACTGTTTCAGTCCAACCAATTGCTTTGCCACCAATCAGTGCTGCTTCTGCCAGCCAATTACTACCTTTGTGGGCTATTGGCGATGCTAACGCCAATATTAGCAGCAACACCAAGCGTAGATGTATTATTTCCCTATTCACTTTCAAAACGATATGAAAAATGTGTCATTTCATCCTATAAAAAAGGGTTTCTTTTCTGCTGCATGAAGATTATAATGGAACTAAAGCAAGGACATAATGGGTTTCGAAACTAAGTGTGGAGGACAAATTTTGAGAAACAAGAGTTCCATGGACACAAATTGTGTTTATGTGGATGGTTGACAGAGTAGGATCAATTCTGGCAAAGTGAGCTGCCAGAATTGAACCTTACTTGTTAGGTGATGAAACCTTCAGTCGCATCATGGATGATACTGGACTAATGGTAAACATAGGTCCCACCTCCCATGGATTTTATATTATGTAGTAGTAGACGGCTAGAGCGAGACCTTCATTAATTCTCTCCCCAAAAAGAAACTCGTGATGAAGAATATTGAAGACTTTGAACATGAATTGTTTAAGTCCCACCAAGGCAAGCTGTTGGTGTGTGCAATGAGTTGGGATTGATCATGTATGAAGTAGTTTTTTACTGATAACATCCCATCGTGGACTTTAAAATGGACACTGGTATTCTTCTCTGCGATTTTGTATTCATTTTACATGAACTTCAAGTTTGTATGATTAGTCAGATAAAAGAGAAGATAGAGAAATTCTGCTAGTAATTTGAACCGCGAGGTGCAAACTGCAGGTTTTTGCTTTGAGAGATGCAGGAAATGTTGCTGAGAATGGGACTGCATATGTTAGCTTGGAACCATGTAATCATTATGGGAGGACACCTCCGTGCACTGAAGCACTTATAAAAGCCAAAGTGAAAAAGGTGGTCATTGGGATGGTGGATCCAAACCCAATTGTGGCTTCAAAAGGGGTGGATAGACTACGAGATGCAGGGATTGATGTGACTGTTGGTGTTGAGGAGGAATTGTGCAATAAGCTTAATGAAGCATATATCCATCAAATGCTTACAGGAAAGCCCTTTCTTACGCTGAGGTAACTTATCTTTTTGCACTTATGTAATATGTATGGAGAACCATGTATTTAATTGACTCATTATGGTGTTTTGCTTGTCTGTGTGTATAATATGGTTTACTTCAAATTATACGGGTTACAATTGATATATCTATACATCTTGGCTACCATTTACTTGACAAAAGTATAGATTGACTTCAAATAATCCTATAATATGCATGAAAGATGTTTCTTGCTGAATTGCAGATACTCTCTTTCAGTTGATGGCCATTTTTCTGATCAGCTTGGTGAAGAAGTAGCGGAGTGTGGAGGATACTACTCAACATTGTTGCAAGAATATGATGCTATAATACTGTCTCACAACTCATTAAATTCTTCCTTTCCTGCCTCTAAAGAACCTGGGGCGAATCAACCTCTCAAGATTGTAGTAGCCGAAAGTCCTACTTTCCCTATTCAAATTCCTGTTGTCAACACCGAAACTTCTAAAGTAGTAATCTTCACGGACAAAGAGGCAGCTGTTGAACCTGAAGCAGCTCAAAATGGAATTGAAACAGTGGTTTTGGAAAGGTTAAATTTGACTACCATTCTTGAATATTGTAAGCGTCAAGGACTATGCAGTGTTTTGTTGGATTTAAGAGGAAAGTCTGGTGGTTTTGAAGAGATCTTGAGAGAGGGTTTTGAGCAGAATCTAGTTCAGAAGGTTGTGGTGGAAGTGCTGCCAATTTGGGGTGGAAGTACAGAAGAGGCATTGCCTGTGGAATTAAAGAACCTGCAGCGAAGTTTGAAGAATTTAACTTCTAGGAAATCAGGTGAGAGTGTCTTACTGGAGGGATACTTTTGAAGGCAGTGACTGGCAACTTGGGGAGTGTTTCAAATTATCAGAACTTCTGTTCTTGGGTAGGTTCTATGCTGCGATTGTGATCTCAGGAGGAATCGAATGACTACAGCAGTGGAATAGAAGGAAAAAACCTGAAAATTCCTGTCAAGAATTTTTTTCCTTTATTTTGTTCTTCCTCTGTTACTGAAGATGGTCAAAATTTAGCCCCCAACTACTGGTCTTGTGCCTATTTATGGCTCTTTTTTTTTTTTTTTTCCCTTTGTAGGTGCAGCATTTGTGTGGAAATTATTGAAGAGAATGGGGAAACATGCTTTTGGGTGGTAATGGACATGTATGTGTTTATCTTGGGATTCTTGCCTTCTGTTTATGGCAAAATACTGAATGAGTGATGTTGCACCTTAAAAAATGCCTATTTGTTGGGCTTATTGCTCTGGCCTTGGAGAGAGAGAGACGGGAGCATATTCTACCGATCTTTCTAAGTTATGGATGATAATTTTGATATGACATGAAGCAGAAACTATAACCACGATCTCTGATTCACGAACATCGCATGAATCAGAAATCGTAGGATATACGTTAGACATAAACGCTAAATCACAAGACTTAAACATGACATAACATAGTTCGATTTACCGAAATGGTCAGCGATGCCACTTTTTTAGTGATGCAAGTTGTGCTTGAATCTTTTTCTCATTGGTTATAGCTCCCCGGATGTTATTGTGAACCAGCTTGCACAGCTCATCAAGTGCAAGCATGGGTAAGGGCTCCTCCGCAAGAACAACCACCTGCCGAGAGGAAGGTCTACAGTCCACGCACACAATGATTCCTACGGGCAACCAAAATCACACATACATTTGAGAGAGAGAGCAAAAAAAAAAAACAATTTTGCATAGTCAAACATGGATGATTAAATTAGTTGGTGTGATTTTGTATGAAACTCACATTGCGGAGCAAGCCAAAGGATTTCTTATTTACCTAAACGTTTATATTGTACATTATATTTCAGGAAGAGCAGTTATAATTTTTATCCACCAATCACAAGATCACTGATCTGTTTGACTTAACTCTTGATAAGGGTTTTAGAAAGAAACGAGAAATGTTAAATGACTAATTATCTCGAATATTAATTTATCTCATTATTATTTCAATAAAAAAAATTGACAAGAAAATCATTTTTTTGACACAAAATTGGATTAGTATAATCTCAACACGTTGCTCAAGTGGTAACAAAGACGAACAGTTAATTTAAACGTTTTGAGTTCGAATTTTAGCAATTCCTTGAAGCCAGACCAAGATAGATTTATCTCTCATAAATACCTTAATCCCGGATTGAATGTTATGCTTTTGAACAGACCGGAGAAAGGATTAATTGAGATGCGCATAAATTAACTCAGACATTTTGCCAATTGACACAAAAAAAAAAAAATATTATGTAACTCAAATTTTTATCCCAAATGAACAGAGACCATTAGATGCGTAGGTTTTATCAACTTTTTTTAAAATAGAAATTACTAATCTAATGATACTTATTGATTTGAAATACAAATTTGAGTTGTAATGAGTTGTAAATTTAGATTCCACAACATTCCTCGAAAGAAAAAAAAAACACAAAATTCGATAAGTGCCAGACATGAAGGGGGTGTTGATGTAATTAGTCCAGTTTTTTCATTCCAATTCCGACATTCACTTCCTCCTCCAAGACTCAAACTGAAACTACCTTCAACTGCAGATAATCTTGTACCCAGAAGAGAACATCAGCCATGGAAGAGCCTAAAGCTTCTCAAACCATGGCTCCAAACCTTCCTCCCCAACCTCCACAGAGTAACAAAAGACCTCTTGATAACATTGCCCACTTCCAAAACTCCAACTATTACAAGATACGAGCCGTTGTCAAAGATCTTCGTCCCCATTTTCTCGAGGTAAAGAACAATTGTTTTCATTAATATGCACCACTTCATCTAGTTTCCTGAATCTCTAATGATTTCATTTGTGGGTTTCTCTGAATTCTCTGTTTCGATTGCTTCTCAATGCCCTCTGGATGGTAGAAAGATTTTCGTATTATTTTCTTTATAGTTTTTTGCGATTTCGTTTATGGGTTCTCTTTTCGATTTTACAAGATCTTCTGTGTATAATTGTTTAGCGCATCTGCTATGTCAGCATTGTAAGGAAGGTTTCATTTTGGGGTTCTTGTGCGATGCATTGTACAGCCTTTTAAGTTTGACCTTCCATGAAAGATTGACAAGGTTGCAGTATCTGTGGGTTTTTTGAAATTTTACCAATTTTTTTGGTGAATGTAACTTGTTTCAATATAGGTTTATACTCTTCGTTGATGGACTGTAATTATTTGTCTAAGGCGCTATCTTTTGGGGGTTATGTGGGTTTTCAGATCTTAATCCCATCTTGCTTGCTGTATTTTCTTTTACTCATGATTTTTGTATCATATATTCTCAATTTTAATGTTTTATCAGCATAACTGTGTACCCAACTTTGTATGTGCTATCTATTACACATCTGGTCCTCATTTCTAATAACGGAAGAAGGATGCTTTGGGAAGCTAACAACCAACATAAAACTTGTCGGATCTCTTATAAATAAGTATATTGTTTATAGTTTAAGTTGCTGGGGCACAACCCTCAACTGTACGAGGGCAAAGTTTTTTCTCTTCCTGGTAAGGAATGGACACTGCAAGATATGACGACCAAAATTCGTATCCAGAATTGACAAAAATGAGCCGTACTTTTGGAAGTTTGATGCCTTTTGACTGGCTGTAGAACATGAGGTGTGTTAGGTTATAAAATGCGCCCACAGTTCATGCATAATTTCAAAGACGTGACCTTTTGAATAGTGAATGGTTGCCATGGTTTAACTAACTTTAGAATCATGACATTTAGATGGTAATTAGGTATGGAGAGACATCCTTCATACAATCATGTGACATTTTTTAGCAGAAAAGGTTTATCACAAATGACAACCACGACATCTTACATTAAAGACTAGGTACACTTAGCTGTAAGTTGACTTTTATATGTAAACTTACAATTATAATGCGCCATTGGGTTTTTTTATCTTTAGAAAGAAATAAAATACTAAGATAAAAGGATCATTGTTTATGGATTTAATGTAGAACAAAAATTGATTATACGGGATTGTGAAGCCAAAATTCATATACCTTATTCTTCTAATGCATGGACAGCTAGGAAATTTTAGGCTTGCAGTTAAGGGTACATCAACCTAGATAGGGTTTGGAGGGAATAAATCCAAATCAGGGTGGAGTGTTCATGGTATTGCCTAGAAATATTAGTGTGTCATCCAGAATCTTAATCTATGCCTCTTTAGGGCGACGATTTACTGAGAAAATTAGAATTATAACTGAAAGGTTCAAAGGTTGTCAAGTTGAGGAAGATTGATTAAGATATGGTCGATGGGATGAGTTGTTATGGAGTCAGCCAAATTTCCAGAAATTCAGGGAGGTACAGAATATAAAGAATATAAACTGAATCAAATAACTGCCTCAGCATATCTAAATTGTTATTCATAATGCAAAGAAGCACTTATTCCAGAGAGGACAGCCATTTTCACAAGCAATTCATTTTCTGCAACTTTTTTTTTTTTTCAGTTCGCCTTTCTAGTTCTTGATTAGGTTTTTTAGTAGCTTCTATTTCAATGAATGTTAGTCTAGCATCGGTTTTATGACTTTATGTATGCAAGTGGCTGTCAGGCAATAAGAAACAAACATTTTATTAAAGAATAAAGTGAAGAAGTACAAAAAAATGGCCAAAGGTGGGCAAGAAATCCATCCCAAAGCCTTGAAACAGAAGAATAGTGCTAAACATAGCATCATAGTGTCAAAACAATCTGCAAGATGCTTTCCAATTCCCCATGATGCAAAAGAGAGGGACTTTCTCAAAGTCTCTACTCACTGGAGCCCAAAATCTTGTGTGCGTGATATCTATGCTTGAAATTCAACTCCTAAAGTGTAAACCGTTCCTTGTACCAAAAGCAGTAGCATCCTCAAGGCAAGGACAAATCCGATTTGGAAGTAAGGCGATAGTTCACTTATTATCCGGAGTCTAATTAGACCCTAGCATAGTTTATCTTGAACAAAAGAGTTAAACACACTGTAGCCAATTTACATTGCGAATTCAACATTTTCAGAGCAGAAGATGAAATATTATATCTCGAAAACCACTTACAAACTTAGAGTAAGTCAGCAGGGGTGGTTTTCACACTGCAGTTCTTGGGAACAACCAGCACACATGGGTGTCAATGAGTGTTGGTAGATTGGAGTAACAATTGATTGGCCAAAACTAAGAACCTGGTGACTGTATCTGAGAGTGTACCTGTTATTTGTAAAGGACTGGGCAGATACCATCTTTGTGACCCTCTTCAAGAATTACTGTGAAGATGAACAGGAGTGTCTTATATTGCCAACTAAAATGTGTTGTTCCGTATTTGTGGGACTAAGAAGATTTGACACTGGATAGAGAAATTCATGATTCTAGATTCCAAGAATAATAATGCTCCAAGCTCCATCTCGGCCGGCATCTTGGTCTTGAGGGGGTGGGGTCCTGGAGCAAACTACTCACTGATGTGTTGCCCCCCAACCCAAGGAAGGGCATTTGGTGAGGAGCATTGTTTTGAGGGATGGAAAGCGTGGTTAACAAACCACTTCGAGGAGGCAACCGCTTCGTTTCAGTAAATCGTGGTATGAGAAAAGAGTGTTTTGTAATGAATTCTTCAATCTTGGGAGAGAAGGGAGTGAGGAAAAGCAATCAAATGAATGCAGCATTCATGGTTATTGTAAATTTTATGCTGCCCTCATGTAGTTTCTTCATGGCGTTGGAATGCTTCTTATGAAATAAAATTTCTTTTGTTGTCTTGAAGGTTCTCCGGACTCCTGACTTTCAGAAATGCAAGGCAGCTAATGATATACAAGAAAGTAAGCCTTTTGAGATGTATTTTCTCCTCCATGTAATCAAATAAGCAACTATATTCAATGCTATAACTCAATTTTTAGATTTAGTCAGCATGGTTGGCTTGTCGCCATCTGCAATTCATAGTGTTGAAAGCTTTATGCACTGCTTTTTTACTGTGATTAATGTGCATCCTCTTTCCTAAGAAGGCATTAGTCTAACACACAGCTTAGCATCATTGATGCATGTGACATATTAATGAGTGTACTCTCCTTGATATGGAGCCACTAGTCTGGCACATGACTTAGAATTGTTGTTCTGAAGCAACAACATTGGACTCTTATTTCGCATCTTGTCTCTGCCATTTTTGAACCGACTTGTCACCAGGTATTGAGAGTATGATAGAGCTGGGTCCATGATTTCCCCAGTTATTCACGACAGTTCATGGGGCAATATGAATACAAATTATGTTGGCTCATGAAATACGCTTAATTGCTTATGCCTATGTCAACTGTAATTTGCAGAGATGAAGCTTCTGATGGATCTATACAAAGAGATGACAGCAGAAACGGTCATCAATGTGCCAGGTCTACCTTTGTCCGGTGAAATTCAGGAGGGACAAAAGCCTAAAGAGCGGCACCAAGATCTGCAATCAACAGAGCAGCCTCCACCAGACAGAGTAGATAAGCCTGTTCGTTTGGGAAACGTCTCTGATAAGCAGCGTTCTGAACATGTTCAGATGCAGGGAACATATGTTGTTGGAGGATCAGCTTTTGGTTGGAATTTCATCACTTATCCTGGCAGTAACGCAGTCTATTACGGCAGAACAAAGGAGTCATTCCGCGCTGCTAATGTACTTCCTCCCTAGAGCCCCATTTGAAAAGAATAAGGGCTCTCTCCCTTTCTTATACTCGGCTCAAAAAAGCTTTCTCACAGCTTACTCAGTTCTCGCTTCTCAATAGTTTTCTTAAATATTGTATCATGGCTCACCCCATGTGGTCAAAGGGGTTTTTCTGGATTGTTGTATCAACTGTAATGGTTGCAAGTCTTCAGCCAAATGATGACAAGATTGCTAAGACATTTTAACTTCATTGCTTTCATTTTAACTGTTTCTGTGATATCTTTACTATCTCATCTTATTGCTGTCACCAATTCTCTTTGAGAAATTTGAAGACACTAGGCTGTTATCACTGGCCATTTGGCATTTTCTGTGGCACTAAACCATCAGAAATACAAAGATTGTCACCTTGGACTGTTCATTTTCTGAAGCATTGTCAAACTTGTTTTCCACTAGGTTCCTTGCAAGCACAACTGTTTTGGAAGTCTCCTACCACCATTTATTTGAGTAAACATTGGGTGTAACAGTGATACTGCATTAACATTGTCACGTGGTATAATCGTCCAATAATAAATAAACAAATTAACTAATGAATCCCATTTTTTGAATATGTGGTGGTTACTATCATACATGGAAGAGTGATTATCTGAAATAATGGGGTCTATTTTGTTTATTTGTTTGTTTATCATTGAATGGTTATACCATATAACAATGCTGATATGGAGTAAACAACTAACCATTACACCTAATATTTTCTCCATTTATAAGAACCAACTGTTTCGGAAGCTCTATGTCCGCACAATTTTCTAGTATAATGATCGTACCTATTGTATGAAAATCGCTTTTATAACGGAGTTTTGGTGAGGTAAGTGATAAAAAAAATTATATTTTAGAGAGCCCTAATTTTTTATGGATATTATAAAGTAAATTAGCAACTACTACGTCATGTTTATGGCATAGGCCTCTTCGGATAATGAAATATAATTCTCCAAAACATGAAATTATCTATAAATAAGGACAGGATCAGGAAAGATTGGTTCAATCGTTGGTTTTTATGTGTGGTTTGAGAAACTTATTAATTTATTTATAAAATTATTGGACTTGACAAGGGCACTTGGGTCCATAGCTCAGTGGTAGAGCAATTGACTGCAGATCAATAGGTCACCGGTTCGAACCCGGTTGGGCCCTTAGAACTGTTTAAGCTTTTTATGCTTGTCGTTTATTTTGCTCCTAATTTTGGGCGAATTACATTTTGTACCCTAAAAAATTTAAAGATTTTTATTTTGTACTCCTAAAGATAAATTTTTTATATTATACCCTCAATTTATCAAAAAAACTGCAATATACCCTTCTGTTAACTTTTGTTATTTTTTTGGTCAAAAATTAACCCATTGACACTACCAAAAAATTAATGGAATCGAACAAAGAATCACATTGCAATACTTTTGATACATTAATGGTATAATATAAAAAATTTAATCTTTAATAATAATAAAAAAAATTTTTTAAATCTAATAGGATACAAAATGCGATTCTCCCTTATAATATTTTTTCTTTCTCTCCCGTTTCATCATAACTTGTACTGTTTGAAAAACTTTCAAATGACTTCTATCAAAAACTTAACAAAAAATTGTCAATAGAACTTAACAAAAAAGTGTCATTATTGATACTCTTGTTCCGATGAGTTCGTTTATAATGCTCCGTTTGGTACGATGAAAAAAAAAATGATGAAAAATTAGAGATATTAATAAAACATCATGTTTAGTAAGGAAGGATGAAAAAGTGGATGAATTCACTTTTTTTCTAACTCACTAAAATCAATCCCTCCAAAATCAGAAGGAAAGGGGATAAAAGCTAATTATTTGTGTTGAAATGTATCTTACTTATTTATATATCTTTTTATATATACATATATTATGTATACGTTAATTTCATATAAAAATATTTTTTTTTTCATCTTAACTAGGGTTAAAAATTTTCGACTCAACACGATGACACGACTCGAACTCGACACAAATTTGATGACACGAATTTGATTATAACTCAACATGAACTTAAAAATGACCTGATACACGAACAAGAAATATAAAGACTCATAATTTTATGACTCAATACGAATCTAACACAACATGACTAAATTTTCACCCCTAATCTAAGCCAGCACAAAAAAAAAATTAGTCATTTTTATTTTTCATCTATCCAACCAAATACAAAAGAAGGAAAGTGTATCATCCTACTATCCATCTTGAAGGATAGACAGTATATTTTTCTTACTTTCTATCCTTCCTACCAAACTAAACATAAGCGATGTTTGATAACATTGCTTAATATTTAAAATTAAATACTTTAAATACTTAATAAACTAAATATGTTTGTTAATCTAAAATTCATACCACTTAATATTTTATGCGCATTTTAACAATAGTTTAAAATTTTAAATAGCAAACTACCTACTTATTACTTAATGCTGAAAATATTAATATTTTATAAATTTCTCATAATAAACAAATATATCCTCACTATATTTTACACTTTTAATTTATCAATATGTATCATCCCTTATTGTGTCGCCGCCACAACTAGCACTATCACTATTGTGTTGCTGCACTGCCACCACCACTAACGCTACCATGTGTCGTCATCACATAATGGTAGTGATAAAAATAAGGTAATTGCTATGAAATAATAGAAGGTGAATAATAATACTTTCAAACTTCAGTTCCTTATATTTGTTAAATATTTTGATTTAATTCAATGCTTAACTTCATTAAATACCAAATAGTCTGTAAATTAAAAAATTCAGCATTTAATTTTCAATAGTCTGTTTTTATAATAGCCAAGTAATAGGAAGGAAACATGGAAAGCTTGTATGAAATGAAGCATTATTTTGAGATAACACAATGGGAAAGGCTACGGTATGGCCTTCGGTGACGTACCCAATTTTACAATAATTTTAAGTTAAGTTACAACTTTTTTTAAGTGTAAGTTACAACTTTTTTTAAGTGTAAGTTATAACTTTTAAAGATCAAATTATAAGTCATAAGGGAGAAGTTACAATTGCTCAAAGAAAGTCCATGATCGATCATGTGTCTCTGTGGTCGATCATAGACTTTCCCTAAATTATTATAATTTTTCACTTTTGAATTGTAATTTTACCATAAAAGTAATAACTTTTGGTACGGTATCGAACACGGTACCATAGACTTTCCCTAACACAATAGAAGAACAGATCATCATTGACTTGCACATCAACAAATGTTAGGGGGGTAAAAACCCAAGAGGAAAACCAGATATCCTTCTTTACAAAATGCAAATGAAAACCAAGTTTTTTGCACAATTGCTCAAATCAGAAAAAAAAAAAACTGCATATATTATCCACTCAAAGAACAAAAGAAAGAAAATAACAATACCAAAATCTTCACCCAAACTTAGTCATCTACATCAGTTTTCGGAATCGAATCATAAGAGAAATGAATCCTTAACTCCTTCATTTCTTCATCAATCATCAGTATTTGAAGCAGACTTTTTAGTAGATGCTGCCATGCTTGTTGTCACGAAAGAAGCGATTGAAAGAACCAGAAAAAGGAGATTTACAAATATGCAAAAGCAATTGGTTTATTGTCCAGCATTTGAATGCCTTTTGGCTTCAAGAACTGCACCCTCGTTAAGTGCTATTTGTGCTTCATTATCCATTTTAAGAGCAAAAAGTGAGGCAGCTTGTAGAAAGGAAGCAATGTGCCAGACTGGAGAAATGACTTGGGCATGCATTGCATCATTTAATGCTTCCTGCGGCATCTCATTCATGAGATAAGACAAACTACGGCGAGCAAAAACCGTCGGAGAAACCATGGGTCCAAAATTGACAAACTGCAAGTAAAAAAGAAAAAGACGATATATTTCAATAGATTCTAAGACAACTTGAATTCGGAATAGTTGAAAAGGCCAACATTCTGAGTTCAAAAGATTCAGGATTTAGTGTTAGATTAAAGTCCATTAATACAGAAACTATCAGTTGTTCATGGTTTCCAATAAACTTCCAAGATCCCTATAGACCAATGCAAATTACAAGCATATCAGGTAGACCAAAGGCTAAACTTACACACCACTTCCCCAAAAAAGCCAACAAGAAGATATGTACATCTATATATAACACAAACACATAAAATTTCACGTATTCATGTAATTGAAATTTCAGGAGTGTCTACCGGATTACTTTATCCAGTATTACGATTGTATCATTTGCAACAGCCAGAGTCAATCAAACTGAGGAAACATAACAATAACCTGTGTGTAGCACTCGATTGCAGTTTTGGAATCTTTATGCCGGAAAGCTGTATCACCCTCTTTCTTTGAATTCAATGCATCCTGCATTTGGTCGGTCCACATTTGGAAAGAAAGCTGCAATATCGGGAAGGCAAGAATGAGCAAAGACAATAACTAAAAAATATGGATAACAACCGTATCTGGGATAAAAGGTTAACTATTTCGTCTTCAATAATGACTGCTGGAGTATACTTGATCAAAGAAGAGAAAAATCAAGAACTTTACAGGTAACACAATGCGATACAGAAAAAAACAATGTCCCATCCCATTTAACATTAAATAGAGAATACCACTTTAAAACCAGACCACAAAAATAACAAACATCAACGCAAACACATGCTATCACGTGAGGAAACAGTTCAAACCCGTCAATCGGTGGTTTAAATTTAAACTGTTGGTTTTTTTTTATGGAGTCTAGTTTGTATATGTAATCCGGATGATGACCCGACCCGAAATAATGTTGTGTGGTTTTTAATGGGAAATTTTCTGAGGCTTAGTCCATGGAGCGAAAGCTTGGGCTGATAGGCTCAAGCCGTAGCGCTCATGGACAAGCCTCGTGGGGGTTCGGGGCAACGCCCCCGAAGAAAATTTTTGGGCCCGTTATACAGCCCAGTGCGTAGGACATATAAACCCTGTTGTTTTGGTGATTAGGGTTTTGTTGTGGATTGTACAACCACTCTCTATAATTCAACTCTCTCAATAGTGAAATCCCTGCAGCTTCGTGGACGTAGGCAAATTACCGAACCACGTAAAATCTGTGTCTTGTTCTTTCTTGTTTCTTATTGCTTTATATTCTTGATTTGTTCTTCGATTGTGTGTGTTTGTTAGTGGATTTAAATCGAGTTAAATCCCAACATAAACCTCAGTCAAAAGATTTTGGAATAACAACATAAAAAGTTCACATGTTCTGGCGTTCTACTACAAATAATATCAGTAACAGAAGGGAAAACATTCTGATATGAAAGAGGAAGATGGAGTCAGCTGCAGGAGAATAGATGGTTAAAAATTTGAGCATGTCACCAGAATGAAACCCAAGTATTATGAGTTTAAAATGTATGCAGAACCTCATTTGCCACTCCCTCGTCATCTTTATACCCAGTCTTCTCTAAGATCTCATGTATTGCAGTCAAGTCCATTCTTGAGCAAGCTTCACCAAGTGGAGATCGAGGCAAGAATGAAGCACTGAGTGGGATACCCATCAAGGTATGAGAAGGAACCTGCACATGAAGAAAGAAAGGATGCTAAGAACTAAATCCAGTTATTCGCAAGTTGACATTTGATTTAGACTGAAGACTCGGTATGAAGGTGCAAAAGCCAAATACACATTCGCAAAAAAGAAAAGATATAAAATGAACAATAACTCAAACTTTATCCATCTTTAAGCCAACGGAGCAAACTTACTTTTATAGGCATCAAATACAATAATTATGCTGCATCATGACGGTTTAGATTTAGACTTGAATATTACAAAATTGCTGTCAAAGCTCAAAGCATGATGAGCTTCATTTTTATCTTTTTATTCTGTGAGAGAATATAATATCTGCCCAAATTTTGCACCTGTGGGATTTGTGCTCCACAGACATATATAGCAATAAGTTTGGCTTATAATAAGTACAGCATGCCAGCACCAAAAACAAGCAAATAGTAATGCTAAACAAGATTACTTGCCTCCCAAACAACTATAAGACGAAAAGGGAGAAAAATTAGTAGTTAATTCAGCTGGATTTGTTTGTGTACAGATGCATTGTTATGCCTATTTCAAGGGAATCGTGACTTGCTATGCCAGTCAAGGCTCAAAATTGTGCATCATAGTTGACACTGTTTGGAATGAAGGCAATACCAAGACAAAATAAAGAGAAACAAGTTCACGACATATGGTCTTATTATAAACAAATATGGCAAAAGGAAAATAAGTCCACCATTGTTGTGCTTATCATGTTTGTTCTTATCTCTAGCTTGAGAATGTACTCAAAGCCAAATTAACCAAATTCCTTCATGGCTAGCTCTCTTGGTGTGCACATAGTTGCTCAATAATTTGATGTGCGTTTTCCTAATGCTGCAGTTGACTAGTTTGGCTGACACATTAATTGAGCAATATATGTCTGGATCCAGATACAGGTAACTGTTGCATCAACTAAATAAATTACCAAAATAGTACGATACCAAGAATGCAAAGCAGCCATGCATTGCATTATGGCCGTGTATAAGTGCTCGAGCAATTTAATTGGAGGTGGTCCCATGCAGGGTGAAACAGTTGATTATACATTTCTTCATGATATTTATAACATTTATGCAAGCGCAGAGCAACCCCCATGAAAACTTCTTCATTCAGTTGCAAGTAAACAATTGTCCATTAAAACGAAGTCAAGCTGCTTTATCCAAAGCACTTTAGCAGCAAAAGGAGCAAGTATAATAGTAAATGATGATTTTAAATCAATATAC